TTTTTATTATACACACTTTATCTTTTTATTATACATACTTTTCTCACTGCCGTGCGCCAACGGATTAATGGTAGAATCTCCGGCTGACGCCAATTCAAACGTACGTCTATCCACAATCATGAGCTGTGATGCAGCGAAATAGTCTGTCTGTGGATAACAGTCTATATATATATATATATATATATATATATATATATATATATATATATATATATATTACCGTTGATATACTTGATATTTTCCATTTGAAATAGGCGTACATTTCTATTTATTAAACGGTGTATTTAAAGCCTACTAGCCGGCATATTCAAGAAAATTTAGGCTGATCGACGCAACACATTATTTGATAATTTGAAATGTAGCGTCTATTTCATGTACGAGGTATCCATTATAATAATGTTTGAAGTAATAAAAATGCCGCGTTGAAAAATCAATTAATTCATGAAATATGTTCCCCGTATATTTTCTACATTCATGTAGATTTCTCTCCCTCTCCTTCTCTCTCACTGTCTTTGCTCGGTCTTACTTACACTCTCTTTCTCTCTGTTTTTACTATGTATCTCACTCACCCCGGTCACAGCTGGAAGCGAACGGATACCTATTTACACTGATGAGCTGTGATACAGCGAAACAATCCGTCTGTTGATGATGACATTAGTATCCGAAAAAAAAAAACATTCATTTGGTCGAGCACTGTGGAGGGAAAGCGCGAATGTGTAAACCGTGACTATTACTGCTGATAATGCAAAACTCGCCCAACGGATTGAGGTCTCTGGTTCACTGGCGTGTTTATGCAAAAATGCGTACACAAAAATTAGCCTTTCTCTCTGCTGTGCGCAGATAGAATACCCGACTTATTCCAAATCGGACGGGTTTCGTTCCCGGCTTAAAGTTATCGGATCTCTAACCACACTGATGGGCTGTGATACTGCGAAATTGTCTGTCTGTGGATATATATATATAGAGAGAGAGAGAGGCAGAGATAATCTGAAAATATGCTATATGACCTCGTATTTAAGAATAAAGACGCAGTTCCATTTTTTCATCTGTTATTTCATTCTTATGACAATGTATAGTCACAAATCATCAGTTTGTTTTATTACTACCAACTCGCTTTTGAATGGCATGTATCAATTCTTCATGTTGTTAAAATACGTCTTATACTAAATGCTCTGTTTCTTTTCTTTTCTCCATTTTTCAATCGCTCTCATTACGTTTGTCCACAATTCGGATATGAAATTTTTGCGCCAATGATTTACAGGGTTGTCATTTTATATCTTTCATTTCAAGCATGCGCGTTGTTTGTTTCTCATTTTGCTGAATGCGCCGTAGAATAGGATCATGACACAATTCATTCCGCCAGAAATTTGGAAACGGCATGTTATATTGCTTGACATTTTCACTGGAGGCTCCAATACGAACATTTCAGTTTGTTTGGGTGTCAATCTTAGGACAGTGCAAACGATTCGGAAAGATTTGAGTAATATACCTAGTCAGCAACATGCTGTTTGGAATGATCACTAGTGATGGTGAGGTTATGCCCCCTTTCATCGCAGAACACCTTATAAATAGCCATAATTGTGCTATTTGTTTTAGTGGTGACGCCTTTACCATCCTTAGCAAGTCCCACTCAAATTACCACCTCTTGGAGTCCATCTATATTTTATCTTTAAAGCCTTCTCTTCGTAAACAGGACTTTATATTAGGCCTCCAACTAATTACTATGTAATTTTTTCTCTCCCACTAATACAGTTTATGACGTCACCCTGGCGTCTCCTGCCCCCGTGTTATCATGTGACGACCAATGTGACTTGGTTTTGGTCGCGGCGCCAAATGTGACTTTCTAACCCTTTGCTGATTCGGATGGGAATCTGGTTAGATTCGGTATCAGCCTTGTCGTTCCCAGCTCTCCTCCAATGTCTGGTTACCGAAGTAACAGCTTTGATTTCTAGTCTAACCTACCCACGTTGTGATTTGATCTTAGGTAGACGAAATCAATCAGTCGTCGGGCCGTAATGCAAGCCGAATTCGAGCAAAGGTGACACTGCACAAGTATATGTAAAAGAAAATAAAGTAACAACTCGAAAGATTCAAATGTGTTAAAAAAAGAATAACAAATATTTTTATATCTGGTTGCTGAATACAGGACTGCATCTTTCTCCCAAACCGCTTCTATTGGTACGCGACACTCTGCATTTGTTAGGCGAGTCTTAATATCTTAAGTTGTTTTTCAAGAAACTGTTTTTTGGTGTCTTCAGGTTATATTCGTAAAACTTGTTTTTTGTGGTCTAATTCGTTCTTCAAAAAAAAATGTTTTTGGTTAGAAGTCTAAATCGGAATGCGTGGGATCTTTCAGTCAGCTGCGAGGCTGATCTCCGAGCTCACAGCTCAACTCTGTCTGCTCTGTCACTCTATCTGCATCTGCCCAACTGCCACCTCTCCAACTGTCCTGTAACTCCGTTTATATGGACGCAGACAAAAAACCGGGTGGGGGCCTGTCGTGGTTTGGGTTCCTCGATAATTCCATATCCGCAATAAGGATTTTCTTTTTCTTCGGACAGGAAAATTTATCACTTTCCATTTTTGGAAGTCCATTACTTTCTGTTTTAGTGGGGTTCTTAAGGGAATTGTCCCGCCAAATTCTTCCTTTCTCATATTGGTATCTCACACCAATCCCCTCAGAGGGCGTCAACAGGTTTCCCTTCTTTCTCATAGTGGTATCTCACATCAATCCCCTCAGAGGCGTCAACAGGTTTACCTTCCTTCTCATATGTTTACCTTCGACCATCGATAACGCCACCATTCAGCCAATGAACGCTCGGCGGCGTGGGTGTGGCTAGTCTGGCCTCAGTTTACAATTATCGCTCAAAGAAAAAAAATATCTTCCTTTTTCTTTTCTTTCTTTTCCCCGACTGGGAACACACAGGACTCGTAGTGTGGTCATTAAGTCTCTATCTTAACTGAATGTCATCTGGAATTTATCAACGAGTAATCATCAGGTGAAACTCTTTGTAAACTCAACGCCTTCGTACTTCTATCATCAACAATCTGTCCCGGTAACAAACTTTTATCATGTCCAGGTCTGGACATAAAACAGGTGTCCCTTTCCAAAACCAAATGATAGTTTATGGTTTATTCTTTTCCTTTTTCTCTTTTCCCTTCCATTTACTTTGGGGTGGTCTCAGCTGATCCTTTTTTTCGGTCGCATTCTCGACCTAATTACGATTATCTTCCAGCATTTCGCCCTGCGAGCCACTTGACCAATTTGAAATTTTCATTATTGCCATGGGCAGATTGCTATCTTTTATTCGCCGCGTCATAGCATGAATTAATTCTGACAGATCCAAGATCTTACGAATTTCCTATCTTCTGCGAAAAAATACTTTTCTTCGCAAATGAAAATAAAATCTTTACCACTTTTCTTTGTTAAAAAAAAATAACATCGCTCAGTATGTCTTTCGTGATAGCTTCTTCTCGCCTTAATTATTTTTTCGTTTTTAATTTTCACGCTTAATTAGTTAGCCAAGCGCTAAATAGTGTCACAAGTTTGTCCATTTTTTTAATTATCTAATTTACTTTATTTACCTCGATTTAGTTCTGTTGAGCTAGGTACGAAACCGGTTAGCTAGCCCGTTTTTCATCTTTACATTTTATTATCATGAGTGGTAATAATAAAACTATTTTTTCTGTTCATGGCAGTCATAACATTTTGTACCACTAAATATATCTTTAAATATTATAAGATGAGGTACACATCTGATTTAATCGGGAAATCAAATTCTTTGTTAAATGTTAAAAGTAAAATTAGAACTGTCGCTGCTAAGAAATCTTTTCTTCATTTCTGCTTGTGTAATAAAGTCTGCCCCCCTTTTATTTCCTTTAGATGCCTAAGACTCAACACAGAGGACTGCAACAGGTGACATGAGGAGGTAGTGCTGTCTTGATTCATGTAGGTGGCTGCTGGAAGATTCTATGTCAGGCAACAGAACTCATCACCGTGCCACATAAGCAGGAGAAATCAGAGATGGCTGTCAGACCATTTTTGCGACATCACCCATTACATTTAGTCACATCACTCCTCAGACTGTAAACCCTTTGATTATATGTGTGGTGCACAGTTGAGCGAGAGACCAACAAAAGTTCCATCTGACACCAAAGATGAACTGAATGTAAGGTTTATGGCAGCATTCACCAACCTAAACAAGGATGCAGTCCAAAAGGGATGCAAAAGATTCCGAAGACTCTGTGGTTGAAGCCAATGTTGGTTTTATTGAATAAATTTATACTTTCTATTTCAAGATATGTTCGTGTAATGTTAGTAAATAAATATTTTTAAATGAAATGTCTATGTTATTTTCATTTCTGCGTAATTTTTACGACAATATATTCATCGCACCAGTATATTCTAATGTTATTTTCTTTGATATTGCGCTAAAGATGCGATATTCCTAGGCTTCATTTCTGGCATGAGCACCTGTCATTATTCCCACAGTATAACTCATATTATAACAAAAAGATATGATAGTATCTGATTGATATTTTTCAGGGCGTGTCTTCTATAAAGTTAACCTAATTGCTAAACGCTGACTTGTTTAAAGTAGAGTAACACCACGAGAAATTAAAATGCATCTTCTTTTTACCAGTAACTAAAGAGCGTTTACTATTTTTTTTTATTTCAAGTCAGTTGAACCTGAGTTATAAAACGTGTTGCTTTCTAATAGTTTCCTGTGCTCTTCGATAAACGCTCAAATTAAACCCTTCTCAGCATTAAGAATTTTCCAGCCTATGAAAATATCGCCTATGCGTAGTTCCGGCTTAAAGTCAAATGCCGTGAATAATGATGTTCAATGAAGATCATTTTCAGCTGAATGTGATGGAGTGTAATCAGAAATGCGGAAATAGAGGCGTCGAGTATTATTGAACCGCGTGTAACGTCAAATTGCATAAGAGCATATTTTACTTTCGCTTTCGATATTTTTTTAACTGTGCCTATAACTTTCATGTTGCCTTTTTTCTTTGTAAATATTTCTCTCTCTTTATCTCTCTCTCTATCTCTCTATCTCTATCTCTCTATCTCTATCTCTCTCTATCTCTCTCTCTCTCTCTCTCTCTCTCTCTCTATATATATATATATATATATAACTCTCCCTCTATCTCTCTCCCTCTATCTCTCTCTCCCTCTATCTATCTCTCTCCCTCTATCTATCTCTCTCTTTCTCTCTCTCTCTTTCTCTATCTCTCTCCCTCTATCTATCTATCTATCTCTTTCTCCCTCTATCTATCTCTCTCCCTCTCTCTCTCTCTCATCATCTATCTATCTCTCTCTCCCTATCTCTCTCTCCATCTATCTCTCTATCTCTCTCTCCTCTATCTATCTCTCTCTATATCTATCTCTTTCTCCCTCTATCTATCTCTCTCCCTCTATCTCTCTCTCTCCATCTATCTATCTCTCTCTCCCTCTATCTATCTATCTCTTTCTCCCTCTATCTATCTCTCTCCCTCTATCTCTCTCTCCATCTATCTATCTCTCTCTCCCTCTCTATCTATCTATCTCTCTCTCCCCATCTATCTATCTCTCTCTTTCCTCTATCTATCTCTCTATCTCTCTCTCTCTCTCTCTCTCCTCTATCTATCTCTCTCTCCCTCTATCTATCTATCTCTTTCTCCCCATCTATCTCTCTATCTCTCTCCCCCATCTCTCTCTCCCTCTATCTATCTCTCTCTTTCTCTCTCTCTCTTTCTCTCTCTCTCTTTCTCTATCTCTCTCCCTCTATCTATCTATCTCTTTCTCCCTCTATCTCTCTCTCCCTCTATCTGTTTATTCATCTCTCTCTCCTTATTTCTGTTCTCTTTTTCTATCTATCTCTGTTTATTCAGACTTATCTGTTCTTTTTTTCACTCCAGGTAAAGTAGGGGGATCAGGGATTTACGCCGATGATATAGGTATCCATTATAACGTTAACTAAGAGACAAGTTGCAAACGAATGTTTAATCCATAGGATAATCAGCTTAGTGAGCCACATAACCAAACTCATGACGCGAGTCTTGATGAAAAGAGCGCGAATCGGAATTAGACCGGAAATAGGAAACGGACAGTGCATTTATGTTAAGGACACTGAACACGAAATGCGACATGCATGATTAGAAACATAGCAGAGCGAGCAATACAATGGGTGAGGTATATCCACATAATTTTTATAGACTACGCGAAAACATTGAACAAGTTATGGAAAAAGGATCTATTTGAACTGCTGGAAAAATTATATTTTTTTGATAAAGATTTTAGAAAATCTATAACTGATACTGGATGCCTGCATACGGATAGAAAATGAATTGAATAGCTTTAGAAAAAATAGAAAGGAGGATCAGACGAGCATGGGTCTTCTCCCAAGACTTATTCAACCTCTACAGAGACGCAATCCTAAGTGAATGGAGATATTACCAGGATTTTTTTTAATCTGTGGGCCTAATCATAATCACATAAGATATGCAGATGACACTGTGTTGAAAACGGACCTCTTAGACAGGGTGTCCGAAGAAAGCGCGAAAAAAGGGCTAATCATTAACTGTAAAAATATAGAAAGTATGAAGAGATGACCAAGATATGAGTTACGAATTGAAGATATAAATATCAAGCAGGAGCAGATGTCCAAATATCTTCAAGCCTTTTAGAAAGACACAAACACACATTAACAGGGCGACAGAAGCAGTTCAAAATCGTATGTACTGTGTAACGGGAAAAAATTCGTTATAGACAATGAAAGTGCTGGAGTTCTATGCGATATCCATCATTTTATATGGCAGCGAATGTTGGACGATCTCTCAATGCATGAAGTACTGACTATATGCACAGAAGGATACTGAAAATTCCATGAACGGTTCGAATGATCAACAACGAAGAGAACGCTGATACTGAAAATCAAGAAAGGAAATCTGAGATTCCTTGGCAGATAATGAAACTGAACAGCTTGGAAATACGAGATACATTAGGGGCAAGGAAATTAGGGGAAGGCAGCAATCCACTGATCTAACACCTTTGTGTTAATAGATGGCACAACGCCGGTTACGGGCAGTAAAGGAAGAATAATTTATAAGGGTCACCCTAGATAGGAAGTTGCCGAAAGAAGTGATCGCCTATTCATTGAAGGTTCGTGGCACATAGAAGAAGAAGACGTCAGGTTAAGACTGATCTATAACTAAAAGTCAACACCCTCTTCCAAGTATTACAAGAAATACGAATCCATATAAAACTTTCCAAAGGGAAATGTTGATAAAGAATTGAAGCAAAAGCTGTGATCGAACATAACCTAAATACATAAAACTTCCGGATGTGGAATGCGTATATACTAAACACTTAAAATGTTTTGATGTATGCATTATTTATAAGAAAATTAGTATAGCAAATAGGGAAATAGAGCATAGAATAGGCTGAGGTAGGGTAAGCTTCGCCCAGGTTGATACAAAACCAAAACATTAAGACAAAACCTCGAGTCAAGTTCTTAAATAGTCTCGACTTTCTCATGGATGTCACCCATGGAACACGAACTGTTCAGAAATACCTAAACAGTTAACTCTGACAAAACGTTTTCTATGATAAAGGATTAAATATGGCTTCGATCGAATTAGTCCTATAGCTCTGAGCGAGGGCCATACTTCCTTGAAACTTATGAACTGGAAATAAAAGATCACACATATTAAACTCTACTAAATAACAGAATTTATATAATTGGAGGGGGTTTCATCAACAGCAACAAGTGAAAATTACATGCCACTCGGAGAGAAAAAAAATTACATTGACAAGAACATGATATTTCACACAACTTCAAACAATACGTTAGAACAAAATGTCCTACCAATACAGAAATTAAAAGTTTCTTGACTCGAGAAACTTATTTTCTTGAAGACAATATTTTCTTCAATCTATCTATCATGTTTAACTCTCTTTCTTATATCTATCTATTTCTCTATAATATTTTCTCTCTTTTTTATATCTATCTATCTATCTATCTTTCTATCTAGCAAGCTATCATTTCTATTTTTCTTTCTTTCTTTCTTTCTTTCTTTCTTCCAGATTTCTCTCTTTTTCTAGCTATATATCTCTCTATATATATTGTTTCTCTTTATTTCTTATATCTGTCTATCGATCTATCATTTTTCTGTCTCTTTCTCTCTATCGGTTTTTCTCTCTTTTGTCCTATCTATATACCTATATTTTTTTCTTTTTTCTTTCTATAATTTTCTCTATCTATCTATCTATCTATCTATCTATCTATCTATCTATCCGTTTCTCTCTTTTTTCTATCTATCTATCTATCTATCTATCTATCTATCTATCTATCTATCTATAATGTTTTTCCTTTCCTTTAGATATCTATCGTTTTTCTGTTTCTTACTCTCTATCTATCAATTTCCTTTCTGTTTTTTCTATCTCTCTCTCTCTCTCTCTCTATATATATATATATATATATATATATATATATATATATAACATTTTCCTCTTTCTATCTATTTATCTGTTTTCTCTTTTTCTTTCTTTCTATCTATCTATCTAACAAGCAATATATTTCTCTTTCTTTCTTCTATCTATCTATCTATCTATCTATCTATTTTCAATCAATGACTTCTATCTACTTATGTATATATGTATTCACCAATCTATCTCAGTCTATCCATAGATATTCATATGTTGATTTTCTAAGCATAGTTTACATGTGGCCCATCCACTGATGACCGGAGTCACTATTCAGTCGGAATAGATCGAGCCACTCAAACCGGCAAACCATTACAGCACATCGAAGTGCATTCATAGACATCTACATGTCTCTCTTAAAGAATATTCAATCGTAGATATTGTATTGACTATCTATCCTAACATATGTATATTCATTTAGAAAATACTGTTACTCCCATTCAAATAAAATGAATGATCATTTTGACAGAGGTGCGGTTCACCAAGAAAGTTTCAAAGAAAATGGCAGTTAGAAGATGACTTATACACAAAATGAGATAAGTGGAATTTCTAAGTAGCTAAGGAAGAAGACACATTAAAATTAACACTCACATGACGCATACTAGGAAGGGGAAAGTGAAATAAGGAGAAACAGAGTGAGAACAATGAAGAATGATTGCCAAATGAAGTTCTGGAGAATCATGTTCGTACTTGTCCTAAATGGACACAGTACGTAGAATAAGAAGTATACAAATATCAAATAATTTTTTTGTCATTTTGGGATCGACCTTCTAACTCTCTCTCTCTCTCTCTCTCTCTCTCTCTCTCTCTCCCACTCTTACTCTCTATCTATCTCTCTATCTGATCAATAGTTAGAAATTAATATAGATCCAACACCACACCGCATTGTCAAAAAAGCTATATAGGCGTAACATGTAGAAATGTAAAACCCCACATCTACTAACACAAGACAGCCCTACGTCGGGGCAGTCCTTTAAACTCGCTCGTAACACCCAGGAACAGGCCATAACTTCAATTTAAAAATATCATCTTAACTAGAAAAGTACATATTACGTAGAAATACTTAGGGAGAGAGCTGATACATATGTTACAATCTATATTCACAGGTCAAACATTTTATTTTACTACTAACTTTTATTAAATCCATTTTAAAAGAAGCTAAGATCAGTTAACTTTCAAGCACAACTGGTGTAACCTAATTTCTTTCACTCACGCACAAACCATCCCCCAATCAATATACGGAAAACTACCAGACATGGATGAAAATGTCTATTAGACGCGGACGCACACACGCATACACATTATAATCGAATCCCGCACACACCTAATATAATCGTGATATACAAAAAGAAATCAATTATACACTCGAACGTTGTCTGACAGGACAAACACAGGTGAGGTTTGCTTATCCAAGGGAAAGGAGACAATACAATTTAAAAAATATAAGAATTTTCTTTTCTCCTACATATTGAATTTTCTGGTGAAGCTTACATAAGAACGAAATATGTTAAATTTATGTTTCCTATTTCT